GGTTGATACAGATTTGATAATTAGGTAGGAACTTAACCTGTGGTGATTAATGAACAAAGCGAGCACTACAGACCGACCACCCACAGGGAGGAGACGGCTTAATAAGACCCTCATTAACACCTTAATGGCTATTCTCAATTCGCCTGATTTCTCTTCACTTTTTTATTTTGCCTCTCTCAGTCGCGCCGCTCGCTCCTGCGCATCGAGTCTCTCATTCCAGCGCCCCATTTAATTGAATTTTTGGTCTCCTCTCCTAAACTTATTCTCTTTGACTTAAGATTAGTGATGTATTTAAATCGACGTTTTGTTACGTTTTTACAGTCGGCCGGGACGCTCGCTGTTTTTTGCTCGTGGCAAAAAACAGCGAACCTTTATCGTACTTTTAATTTGGATAATGCAATGAATTGCTTCGTTTCGTAATTGTACTCACTGAATGTAGATGGCGCTTTCTGTTGGTTGAACACGGTGATGTGCTTCTGTGGAGTCATTAATTTGGATGTCGGCGTCATATGTCTATCATTTGGTTGTAATGCGGTATAGGGGTAAGGTTCAGAAGATTTCCGTTCGCAATAAACGAGTGAGATATGTTGTATGAAAGGAGCGCGGCACATGTTGCAGTTGGGTCGATGAAAGATTTTATAGTGTCCCAGTGCGATTTGCCAGCAGTTTGTTAAATGAAGATTAAACTGTTTGTCATTGTATTTACTGGATGAGTAAGATTATATTTTCGTTGCTGTTTTGTCTTTGTTATTAATGTTTACTATTTCTTATTCGCAGAACTCGGTATTTACGATTTCAAACATTAAGAATATTGAGTAGATAGTATTAAGTATGTTAAACGTATGGTTGGGATAGTGACAAAGAATGATCACATCCATAAGTGGACGAGAATGTCCCGCATGATTATTTTTTTCTATTATATCATTACATTTTTTTTCTCGAACTACTTTAATGCTGTTGGCCGCAGATGGCCTTTACAGCTTCATCGGATGATAGGGAGCGAGTAGGTACTCTAATGCTGTTGGTCGCAGCTGGCCTTTACAGCTTCACTGGAGGATAGGGAGCGAGTAGGTACTCTAATGCTGTTGGTCGCAGCTGGCTTTTACAGCTTCACCGTAGGATAGGGAGCGAGTACTCTAATGGTGTTGGCTGCAGCTGGCCTTTACAGCTTCACCGGATGATAGGGGGCACTCCAAACCAAAGGAAGACTTATGGAGCGGCTGAAGGCCAACTCCCGCCTGACGGATACGAATCATTACATAGTATAAAACAAAGTCGCTGTCGCTGTCTGTCCCTATATCTTTAAAACTATGCAAAGGATTTTAAAGCGGTTTTTTTATAGATAGAGTGATTCAAGAGGAAGGTTTATATATATATATATATATATATAATATGCGAAACAGGGGCGTGTAGTTAGTAATTTATGAATCTTATTAATATTTTTTTCTCTGTCCAGAGATCTATTTCATCATTCATTTTCATTAATATATGCATTTTTAATATATTTTCATGCATGAAAATAACGAATACATTATCCAGAGGGAACAATTGTAGGGATATCTAAAATGTATATGTTTATTTACGAAAGTCGCCTGCATGAGTAAATAATTGATATATATATAATTTTGACTACCTCGGTGGTCTAGCGGTCTAGCACACCGCTTTAAGTCCGATGGTCGCGAGTTCGATTCCTCGCACGGCACAATCATTTGTCTGGGCGTTTTCTATGTATAATATTTATGTATTTACGAAAAAAAAATATCTATGTACTTGTATCAGTTATCTAGTACCCGTAACACAAGCTTTAGATAGCTTAACTTGGGACTAGATGGCGCTGTGTGAATTGTCCTGAAATTATTATTATATTATTCTTATACATATAAATATTTTTTTCTGTGTCCGGAGATAGAGTAATGAAAGAAGATAATGCTAGTCTTTTACATCTCCGTATTAAACTTCACATTTACTAAGTTACACATAAAAAAATACATATAAAACTACTAGACACATATAAAACTACTAGATTACAAAAAACTATACTGTTTTTTGTAATCTAGTAGTTTTATATGTGTCTGTTGTTGACATTTAATTATTTCGATATTTATGTAAAATTAATTGGTAGTCAAAATATTCTCCCGCTTGCAGTAAATCATTACATGACGTGTAAGAAGTTAATTTCTGTCAAATCTGATAAAATGATAAATGATGAAACAATAAAGATAACGGTTTTGGTAACAAAAACTCAAAACGTGTGAATTACCTTTAAGTTTTAGTACCTATCTACTCATAAATTCAATACAATATAATAGTAACATAATAAAATCAACAATTGAAACTATGGATAATTGATATACAGTTTCGTATCAAATGAACATAAATAGGTATAAATAAACTTTATAATATTTATATAAAGTTCAGTTTGTAAATGATAATGATAGTATTTTTTAACTTGTCGTAGGATTTTGTATTCACATGTGGATATTCTGCTACAAAAAAATAAATAATGTTTTCGTTAAATATAATTAACCATTACACTACTTTATTGTGTCAAAAAAAAAATAGTGGAATAGTGAACCGTCCTTGGACAGTCGTTAAAATAAAAAAAAAAACAAACTCATTGTATACTCTGTGCTATTCATCGAACATTTGTATCAAGAATCGATGACGTGTTCCAAATTTAAAAATTCGATGAAAAACTTAATAATATTTTAATTTTCGAACATAAAAATATAAAATATTTCAAATAACTAAAACTGTTCTCAGAAAAATACGAATATTTAATTTCTGCATAATTTATCTATTTAATAGTTACCTATAATAATTCTATTGCTACATAATTGTGAGTATACGTTTAGAATTATTACACACAAAAATATATATTTGCGGTATATAATTTTAATGGGGATATTCACTCCCTAAAATGTCAATTAAAGAAAGTGTTAATCACCTATAAAACGGTTAAACGCCAACGTTTTAACATCATAGTTAAGAATTATAAGTGCGGGCGAGCAGTTGACATTACAGCACCGCCACACAAACAAACCCTTTTTTATTGATTATCAAAAGCGTACAATAGATAAAAGATGGCGCTGGACGTATTGTTAGTAAGTCGCAACTCAACAGGACGGCGCCACCGGAGTCGCTTGTGTACAAAAATGGCAGTTGAATATTTTCCCCTGCGACGGTTGTTATACACGCACCAGGATATTGCGCCTTATAATCGCAGACATAAAGACCGCTTTACAACAATCGCGGGTTACTTACATACCCAGAAACGAGTAATATTTGTGGCGCAACGTCGTCATTGTTCGCTGAATTGTCGCCTGCACGGAACCGGCCAGGCTTGTCGTGAGTTTGGTATGAGCACAGTGCACACAATAACACCGTATATATATTTAAACACCTGTTATTAAACAGGGTCATAGTAGATATTGCGAGCTCGTTAAACACAATGACAGATAGAGATCGCACTGCCGGCGATTTAGGATGCATCCACAATTATTAACGATGTTTGCCACATGATATTATAATTACGATGAGTTGAGTGAACTCGTATTTTATACAAAAAGCCACGAGGTACGAATCACGGCTACTTATCTCGGTTGCAATCTATAAATTAAGACTGAACACAAAAACAAAAAATGCTAAATTATATCATAACGGAGCCAAGACTCACTCATGTGTTCAGATAGCTTCCGTTATGAACGTTTCAGCACTTCAAGATTAAAGCGAGGAAATCCCTCTTAAATTCACCAAAAAAAACGCCTCGATCTCGACGGGATTTTCTGGGTTTAACGGATCACATGTGCGTCTCGCTGAAATTCCTAAACCTTCTATATGAATCTGGTAAGATATTCTACAAATCGATAACCTATTATTATAACTCTTTTAGTTTGAGTTATATACACTATCAAATGTGTTTTGGACTAGTTACTACTAGCCGCTTCCTTTGCGACACCGGATAAAGTGCTTCCTATATATCAATGTCAATTAATGCTACACCAAGTTAAAAATGATTTGTTAAGCAGTTAAGATATGAATGTAGAAACAAACTCACTGGTACGTTAGCATTACAATGATGTTGATGGAAGGAGATAAGTACTTAAATTAGATAATGGACATAGCTACGATGAAAAGACCGTCTCTACTAGACTCAACAATACAATTAAACTTGGCTGTATTTTAGATAGTATAAACAAATCTGTCGAGATTTCAGTACCTTATACGGTTTCAAGAGCCGCAAACACTTCGTCCATTTGTCCTATGCCCAGACAAGGTGTTACACCGAAATGTAATTCCAGCAGCAGTGCTATCCGTAGTACTTATAAACGACGCAAATTGCAAATCGCTTTATAATTTAAAACACCACTTACAGTTTTATACTAATCTGTCACATTTTAAAAGCACCTTGTCAAAATTTGTAAAAAATATCTCATTTAAAACTTGGAGCAACGCAAAGATGAAACGGGGTTGAAATCAGATAAATGATAATTGGTATAATAGCGGCTGCTTTTAAATTTATTTTTTAAGTTTAAATATTAATGTTTCGTGACAGGACGATGGCGGCGTTGCTTGCGCGGGGTCCGAGCAAGGTGTCGGTGGTTTTCTGGGCGAACGCGTCCAGACCGGTTCGCGGGTCGCTCGCACGCTATGCCAGAAAAGTCAAACATGTATTGGACCCGAGAACGATAAACCTCGCTTCGTATACGGCAAACGAGCTATTCGTAACAATTTGCAGTCTCCTCATGTCGCTATAGAAAACCGAAAAGCGTCCACTATCACCTACATTTACATTCAGCAAGCTAATGTTTAATGGAAACACGATGAAGCGGAATGGTGTAAATCGGGGAGAAACAGAGGTCCAATTAATGTTAGCGAGTCATGTTATCCACGCGATAGAAACCGTTTGAATTAGAATCTTGACAGATACGGATATCTGGTGTAACACGCAGGCAGATGATAATCGCTATAGTCTCGTTAGCTGTTGTAGTTTTACTTACCAAAGGTGAGTAGAACGCTGAACTATCGACGCCGATGCTGGGATAGGGATTCTGGTCCGTCGAAGGGTAAGGAGTGCCATAGACACCGACAGCAGCGCTAGATAGACGGGGATAAGAGGTGAGGGCTAGCCTAGCTCCGTCGTACTGACAGGAGCAGACCGTTTGGCCGGAGACGGGATCGGTGATTATGGGACGGGGTGTATCGCAGCAGGAAGCGGCAGGGGTGCTGGCGTGGCTGCCGGCTCCGGGGGAGAGCGCGCCGCCGGCTGCGCCCGGCCCGCCCGGGGACAACGCCGGCGCCGAGCTCGAGCCGCCGTCCGGCGACGTCGCCGCGCCGCCGCCCCCCGCCCCGCCGTTGCCGACGAGCAACTGCAATCAAACAGTACATATCGTCAAATATCCACCACATTGCTATAACCCGTTCACGCCTATGATATTTTGATGCACAGCCCTTCACTTATATGGACATAGATAAGGTCGCAACAGCTGCTACTTGTTGCAAAATATCACCTGCATGAAACGGTTTTTATACGTGAGCTAAAAATTTATCCATAGCAATATTATTTTTAGTTTATTATAGTTTTACATGTAGATCATATCTTAAGGTGTTACATATGAAAGTGGATGGTTATAAGGGCAGAGGAAGACCGAAAATGAGATGGTTGGACTGTGTGAAAGATGATATGGTAAGATAGGAAGTAAATAACGAGATGACTGCGAACAGGGATGAATGGAAGAGAAAAACATATTACGCCGACCACAAATAAATGGGTTAAGGAAGAAGCAGATGATGATAATGATGATGATGATAGTTTTACATATAAACATGTCTGAACGGACGAAGAAATTTGATATGAAAATAGATTATATCTCGATGACGAACATAAGCTGTACATATTTTGTTTCTACAAATAATCTGGCGGAAGTATAAATAAGGGATGGAACTTTGTTGCCGACGAAGTGGAATAAAAACCTGAAATTCACATTGTTGCTGTTTGCTTAAATTTTGTATAAATTGTGCGTTTTCTCAAACAACGAGGCCTGCGATTCCGACACGCATTGTGTGCCCGTAATTCTTTTTATTGCTCAACCCATTACGACTAATTTACTGTGAAAAGATTATTATACGGTCCATTTGAGAGTGGCATCAAACACGACAATACAAGTAGAACGCTTTCTTGACGGTTTTATTTTTGAACGAAATGCAAATTAATTCCATTTCTAGGGCAGCCAGGCGATAATATCACGGGCATTCGTCTGAACCCAGCAAGCGAGTTTGTGACGCGCCCATAGCTCGCGTGGGGAATCTCAAGTTACTTGTTTCTAAGAAATAATTAGTACAAGTCAGGGTTGAAAGATATTAGGTGCGTACAAATTAATAACGTATTTAATATTTTCTACATCGTTATATACTTTTATTATCAAATGTATGAGTATATTTTTATCACATACTATATTTAAACGTACATAATGTTTTTTGTTATTAAGATATTCATTAATCATTATTACGTAGAATAAAACAAAGTCGCTGTCGCTGTCTGTCTGTCTCTATGTATGCTTAAAGTTTTAAAACTACGCAACGGATTTTTATGTGTTTATTTTAATAGATAGAATGATTCTAGAGGAAGGTTTGTATTTATAATACATATACACCCGGGCGAAGCCTGGGCGAGTAGTGAACTATATATGTTGTTTCATTCAAAACTGTAATTTATTTGTGTATTGTATACGTCAGATTTTATTATTTATTTACGTAGGTATATGAGTGTATAGTATTATGTGCGCATCCAATAATTAATTTATTGTTTGCCTTAAAATGATGTAATCAATTAGTAGACCGGGCAGGCTTCATCTTGTAGAAAAAACAACACCATCTGCCGGGTCCAGTTTTTTTTTTCTAGGTTGATAATGGAATGGTGCGCCCGCCTGCGCTAACGGTTTACGCTGGCGGGGCACCAGTGGAGGATGATAAGATGAGCATGAGGTCAGGTCAGTAAGCCCAACGTGATAAATTCACCAGGAATTAATCACGATGGTTTCCAGGGGGGGACCGTACATTGTTAGCAATAGGATCATTAGTCCACATTACTAACAGTCCCCCTCCCCCCCTGCCGGGTCCAGTTGTATTTACAAACCTAATAAGAACCCATTAAAATATAGGCGCATATTACAATCCATCCAAATCGATTCAGACTTTTCAAGGGTTAAGTGACATACTAGTACTATATAATGTATGTAATATATATTATAATTATTATATTTTTATAATCACATTGTGTGAAAGATGATATGCATAAAAGGAGAGTAAACTCAGATATGACATATAAAACTTGAAACAATATTCATATTCATATAATCCATTAAGTTAAATGATAATAGAAAAAAATATTATATTAAAAGATTAGAAAGATTCTAAAGAAAAAAGACTTGAAGTCGTCGTAAAATTAAAAACAAAATACTTTGATAAAAACAGAAATATCGTTGCGTGTAAAAAAAAACAGATACCATTATTCTGTTTTATGCAACTAACATTCAATAACTAACTGTTATTGTTTTTTTTTATTAATAAATTTAGAGCAACATTTTCCGTTAGGAATGACAGTAGTTGATTAAATATATTTTTCCCCTTAGGTGCTCAAAGAATTGAATGAAGATATAGATGTAAAACATAGAGTTCCCATTATACTGTTTATCGGCACAGCAGATAGACAGATATAAAACATCGAAATATATATATTTGTAGATATATCGCTGATTAAATGCCAAAGGGCCACAACGCATAAAACAACTGAAACAATTTTTTTCCAAAAATGGTATCTAAAATCGTTATAATTTTTTATATTAAAAAAAGACACCAATGATTCTAGAATTAACACATAGATATACCACTTATAGACTCGTAAAAAAAGTAAAAATATCACACTGAAAATTTTCACGAGCTCTTATGTAAAATTTACCGATGGCGTTTTGTGGCCTTTTGGAATTTAATCAGCGATATGTTCCAGTCCAAGAGAACGTTTAAAGAAATCAATCGGAAATAATGCAAACGTGACCAGATTACGCGGCGGACGCTCCTCAGTATAAAGCAATCTACTTTAGTGGAATAGAGTTGTACATAATTAACGAAAATTTGTCAATCACCCATACGACTAAAAGCGTTTCTGTGAAAAAAAGAATGCAAGCTGAAGTAGTGAAACAACACACTCAACATTACAAATACTTGATCTATTTATTTAATACACGAACCTAGATTGGTCGGTAAGAGATTAAAGAGCGCAGTAAAAGGACGTCAACAGATTTGGTCAAACACAGGGCAAGGTTGACTTAGAAATAATAGCATGAGTTACTGTGTACACATGAACCCCACTCTAAATTCAAACGCTCCGTTTGAGACCACCAACTTGTTTTCTTCAAACAGAGCGAAAAGACATCAAAAGGACCTCTTACGTTGTACTTAAGGTTAGTCTTTTATACAATTAGTAGCTCTGTCTCGAATTTGAGCCGCCTTTTTTATAATAATAATCTTTATGGAATTTTCAAAATATTATTGTACAAAGTAGGGTAGTGTAACGATAAATTTAAATTGAACGAAATATTGATACGGTAGGATAAAATATTGAAACAAAAACTTGAAGTTGATAAGTTGCTAAAATGTCCTACATGATTAAATTATTTTTTATTAGGCACTACTTGAGCTTGCGTGTTGTAACATCTTGGATCGCATCATCACTTAACTTCAGGTGAGACTGCGGTCAAACTCAAATTTAGAAATAAAAAAAAATATTTTGATTTCCATTTGATTGAATAGATAGATAGACAGATACATAAATATTTTGTCTGCAACCTCAGCATATACAATCTATACATGTATACATATAAATAGAATTGGAGTGTCTGTTTGTAATATTGAACTAACCGTTTTTTACTACATGAATCTGAATATAAATACGGTACATACACCAAAATAACATTTTTTACTATTTTTGTCTGTCTATCTGTCTGTTTGTTCCGGCTAATCTCTGAAATAACTAGAGCGATTTTATAGGGACTTTTTTTTGCAGGTAGCTGATGTAATGAGGAGTAACTTAGGCTACTTTTATTTTAGAAAAATAAATTTCAATTCTAAGCAAAGGAAGTCGCGGGAACGGTAGTAGATAATAAATAAAAAACATATATAACAAAAACTGTAAACAGTAACAATAACGACCAGTCAAACTATACGCTACAAGTGTCACATAATACATTTGTTACTGAATTGTTTACTGCAGCAGTCAAACTCCGTAACTCAGCGTCAGTTTTTGTCCAGGGAGAAAATACTGAAACATTGATACCATATAACATTGTTTTCACTTATTTATGCTCAAATGTTAACGGCTACACAGTAATATTTAGTAACCTTCCTCAATAATTGAATTATCCAATACTTAAGTTCGAAGGATTATTGCTCGCAAACAAACAATCAAATTTTAATATTACAATAGTTATGGATTTCAACTTTGAAAGCAATATTCTATCTTTTGGATATTTACAAGAAATTAGTAAATTCTTTATAAAGTACTGGATAATACCAGCGTTTTAACTGTATGCTTTAGCTACGTATCTTCAGTCTAGATCCATTACAGGGTAGACAAAAATCTAGAGTACAATAAAGTGCCTGAAATGATTTACAAGTTGACGTCTTAATACTGAAATGAAAGTCACAACATAATATCTGCTGTATGATTTATGGATTCTTTAATACTTATTTACGTATTTTTACTATCAAATCTGAACCAGCCAGATAGTCCCATGACATCGCCGCTGAAAGACTACAGAAATGACAAGCCACTAATTGTGCAGCATGAAACGTATTGCAGAGGCATATTCCCAACGTTGGGCTACCCCATGCTGATGATGAAGAAGAAATAGATCTCAACATTGAAGACAGAATGCAGCTTGGACTAGAAGTTGCTAATGGCACAATTACTTAAGCAGGTAACTAATACTGACTTCCTTTTATAGCAAAAGTACTACCATAGTATCATCAAAGTAATGAAACAACACATGCCTGTATATAAAGAGATATTTATTTAAAATTTTATGAAATC